CAAATATACTATATAAAAAAAGTTACATAAGTATAATAACATATAAATATATAAATGAAATTTATATAAATCAAAGGTATAAAAAAATAGTTTATGTATATACATACACACATAAATTATTGTAATTTAGACATTTTTAAATATATTAATTAATAATATTAATAATAATTATATTTTTTATATCTATGATTCATATAAATTTCATTTAACACCGTTTACATCTCGTTTTCTAGTAAATTAGCGTTCGTGCTCGAAGCCATGAATCGCGAGCCGACGTCAACAATGAATTCGCATAATTGTAATGTCAGCGCAATTCCACGGGGACTTGGATATTTGGTACATTAGGAATAGTTAGTGTCGTAAACATAGAGAATGACACAGAACATGTGACATCACTCAGGCACGAGTCTGTCGTCGACGTCTGAAGTGTAAGGTCGTTAAATGAAATTAATTTCATTTCATCTAATTAGAGTTTAGCCGAATTGAAATTTTAATTAAAGTACCGCGTAAACCCCCCCCCCTCGCTCGCCCCTCTTTCCGCAATGGCCCCTACACCTCGTTGGGCTACATTGCGCTTTACGTCGAAGATCGATAACCTCTGCAACGTGTTTTAAGAGGGGTGAAGAATAGAGGTGGGATTTCTACTGGACATTTTAACGATGCCTGAATTTAGCCAGGAATTCAGGTTCTCCTCGGTCGATCGATTCAACAAGGGATCTGGAACAAAGACCAGGTTGGCGTTTTTCTTTGTACTCGAGGAAATATTTGAAATCCAATAATAATCATAGAGAATCAAAGAGAAAGACGAACTTGCCTGCTTGCTTGTCCATTAAAAAGTATTCGCTGACGCTGCATAACCGAACTCTTTGCACTGACACCAATTTCCGGCTATTCTTTTTTACCGCAAGCATCGTATGCACGCATGGAAACACCTGTGTGCCTATATATAGTCGTCTATGTACATGCGTATCAGCTTGGATTGAAATATCGACGCTTTTTAAATGGCGAGCATTTACGCAACTGTATAAATGGTCGTCGTTAGCTAGTTGTCGCGTAGGTATAACGATGATTTCAAAATAACAAAATTCAACTATGTGGACCAGTCGGTGGTTGATTGAATATTCATATGTTTTTTGTGAGACACCATTTGCCGTGCGATATACCTATCACTCTATCGCGTTATTTCATTTTCGATTTTCAATTAACGATAACGACGGTATTTAATGACATTGATCTCTGAGCTGCTTAATGATTTATTATTATAATTTTTGTTTCTTCTTTATTTTGGATTAAACTTAATCTATGAAACTTTCACAGAAGATTTTCATCCTCTGATTTTATTTTGATTGTAAAGTTAAATGATAATATTAATTAAATCGAGATCTTAGGAAATGGGGGAAACGAACTGTTTTTGATAATAATGATGATCACATGGTATCACGGTGTTATCATGGCTCAGGTAACAATCAAACTAATTGTGCGAGAGAAATTCTCTCGAATACTAATGAACGGTACGTTATAGACTATATATGTATATATTGCAAAGTTTTGCGAAGGTACAGAAATTTCTACGAATTTGAGTAAACGTTAAATGCAAGTGCTAGAAATCTTATAATCTCCTTGAAAATACAATTATTCGAATTTCGAGCTCTCGCAATAAATTCATACGTAAACGAAAAGTTAATTGCTAAATCATTCAAATTTGCAAACGTAATTTCGACGCATCCCAGATAAATGAAAAAGGAAGAACAGGATACTTTGCATAAAATTCAATGATGACGAGTTTCAAATGTGATTACTCTCATTCAGCGTTATCACTGAATTTCAACCAAAGAAACGATTCGCTCTATCAGCACGTGAATTTGCATGTTCGTTAATGCTCGCCTTTTTATCCATCCGATGAAAATTATCAACCTACTGTATGGAAGTGCATATATGCATATACGCACACAAGGAATACACTTATCAAATTCATATCAATAAGAATTCTTTAATGAAAACTTTTTCCTGCCTAATATAGTCGACTCGAGACTTGACAGAAGAGTTCTCTATCAGAATTCGCCTATAGCATTCACGACATGCTCACAACTCAGCCAATATTTGACAGTCGCACAAAACCCAATAATACACATTGAAATATATTGTATATATATGTATATTCAAAATTTGGTGCTAACAAAATTATGAAATTTAATTGAATCACTATTCCGAAAACCATAATTGATAGACAATACAAATGCTGATTAAATGAAATTAATTAAGCTCATATACATATACAAATTTAGTAGAACTCTCCGTCAAACGTCTATATCAAATTCTAATAAAATCAATCCAATTATTGATTATTCTTTTCAAAAAAGATTCCACTACTCATCGTGCCGCAGGAATACTGTTCGATCGAATAATAAATTACCGAATTCCATAATACCTAAACAATAACTGAAGCCCTCGAGCTATTCAGTACACGAATCCCAGTTACGGGCAAACCATAACCTAATATAGGTATTCACCTATATATGATTTGAGGAGTATTAATTAATGTCAGATTCAGCTCATCAGATTTGACATCGTATGAGGCACGACCTCATCTGTGCCAGTACTATCTGTCTCCTTAACGCATCGCGTACAGGTGCACTCGAGTCCCATATGCGAATACATTAGTGTACATATACATATTATATGTATATATATGCCTGCGTCGTTCAGAATGCGTAAACGCATGGCAGCTTTATATGTACTACTACTTCATATATCCGGATGTGACATCGACCATGTACAACCGGAAGGCTCATTCTCTTCATTTTGTCCTAGTGCCTAGGGTATAACGAAAATATTAACCAGCTGAGGGTAGTGTATAACTGAATCAATGCCAATTATGATCCTCTGTAGACCGAAGGTTCGGTATTGATTTTGTACCTGAATAAAAGTATAGGCGATTCCTGGTATAGCAAACTTGCATGACTGCGAGTGAAATAATACAGAGCATTGAGACATAGAGTCTCCGGCGACACCCTTTGTATTTGAAATTACATTTCCATCATGTTACATGCCAGCGCCAGTCATCCTGGAATGGCTTATTGTTCTTACGATAAACGGGCAGCTGTGAGAGGACCAACTCGTAAACCAAATGGCTATGGTTTAATAGTAGATGGGATAACAATAAACCTGATACTATGGATAGTAACCAACTATGCTCGTTTAATCGTAAAAAGCCGTGGCAGATGTGCTTTACTCAATCGGTTCTTTGAATTTATCGTTTTCTGATGATAATCCTCATCTTGCATTTTATACGTTATTCTGGTTTACTATGGATTAATTATAGTAGGAATTTCATATTAACACTAAACCTACCAGAGCGGTCAAATGACCGCTTTTGAGGCTTCAATCAAAATTGTTAAATTCCAGGTTTTTATTTTTCTTGAACTTACTGCACGACTATGCTAAATTCTGTATTAATTACAATCAACTGGAAAAGACTATAATGTTTATTTCAAAAGCGGTCATTTGACAGCCATCGGTAGAAATAGGTATATATAATATGTCGGTAGGTTTAGTGTTAATGGGATAGCCTAATAGTATTATGTATCTCGTGTGTATTATGTCTGTGTCAATTTATGTATGTCCTAGGGTCAATGTTAGTACTATCTGTTTACGTGATGACACTCTAGGGTTATTATCCTGTTCGCATTGTCAGATTGCTCGAAACTGGCAACGCCTATAATGATCATTCGGTTTAATTCTGTCCGAGCATTAAGACTGGTTTTTAATGAACGTTTCGACATTTTATATGTATGTATAAACCGATTACGGATTATGTAGTTTTCAGACAATCGCCTATTAAAGACAAAAAATATGAGTGCAACGATTGGGTAATAAATTTGATTTTCTTTTTTATAAAAATTAAAATAATTATTGGATTTTTTGAATTTAAATCATAAATCTTACACTGTGTCCAAAGTGACAATTTTTAACAATCTTTATGTCTGCCATTTACTGACTTCAACTACTTAGCCTGGTACCCTTTTCCTTTTTACTCGATTCAAAATGACGTTTTACTTGTACCGATACATATGATGAATAATTTGTTGAATACGTATTGTCGAAAATGAAATATTTTATGCAATTTATGTTTTTGCATATTTGAATTCAAATATTTTATTTGGTTGACAGGTTGGCTCTTCCATATTTTGCTTTAAATAAAAATGCATAACTAAATACATGGTACGAATATGATTTACCTCCTATTTATGCAACGTTAATAATTGAAAACATCTATTTGCACAGTTATTTTTAAAATAAAAAATGCAAAATGTTCACATAAAGTAAATTAGATAGATACAGTATAAACTGATAGAAATGTCATTGTGACCAGTTTTATCAGGTTCCCAATTATATTTAACAGGATTAATTTCTCTTTGTAGAATATTCCCATATAGGATAATTTACATATCTACTTATAAAAAAAAACGAATACCAGATACAGGCTGTTCCCGATTATCAATAGAAACAGCTATTACATTTTAATTAAACGGGCAAAGCGATTTTAATATAAGATGCATCCGTACTGAATATATCGATACTTGGTGCACAGACCGGTTGATCATTGATATTAAACTGCTAGGTCCCCCTGTACGATTGATGAATATTAAATGAACTGCTATTAACGAACTTTCATTCCGTCCAACGATTTAGGTACCTCATACCACTCTCATTTGACCATTTTTCAATGACGATTCGATATTTCGAACTCGTTCGTGTGGTCATGAAATTTTCATTAATCTTCCATATACCAGTACTGTTGTTCTTTCTCCTTCATTGTGTACCTTCGACATACATAATACTTTCACGAAATCCCAATGGTACCATTTGCGTTGGCTTTACAAATGTACTTTAAAATGACCCAGAGGTGTATGTACATACCGGCAGTTGCATTCACATCGCGCTCAACAAATGCCAAAATTTCTAACGTTTAAAATTAATTTATCCACGTGAAATTACAGTATAACATAAAGAAACGAGAGGAGGTCCAAGAGATGCCGCAGGAGGAGCCAAACCCATTGATGCGCAAGAAGAAGACCCCGGAGGAATTGGCGGCCGAAGCCGAAGCGGAAGACGAAGACGATTTTACGAGTAAGATCTTTTCTTTTCCAATCAACAATAATATATAATTCGAACTATACCCCCCCCCCCC